AAACTTTCTTAGGCTTAGGTTCAATTGACAGCATTAGTTCTCCGCAAAGCTATCTCGGCGACTGTTGCCGTCAATGCTGTGTGCCCAAGCTTTTGTTACGGAAGCGAGACAGCGAATCGACCTGGTGATCCCTCTTCAGCTACGTTTACGCCTCTGTTTTCCATTATATGTTATCCATAATTATATGTTTGCAGTCGGTTAACGTTCGCAAACTACGAGGAGAGAGCTGCAGCAGGATCGCGAATGAAAGCTGATGCTCAAAGGCTTGAAGCGCTGTTTCAACAGCTTATTGATACTGGCGACATAAATGAGCCAGTGAGTATCATTTTGTCGTTGCACCTTTCGACTTGTGAGAAGTGTGAGTGCAGCCTGAAATTTTCTCCCCACTGAGGAAGGATGATAGATCAAAGTGGTCGTTTGAAATGAGATGAACACCTTCTAATGCCTGTTCTAGCTCCGGTTGCACTGTGTCTTGTATTTCTGCTGTGACTACCTCTGAGGAAAGTTGCCGAGGTCATTGAGGAGGAGCATACCTATCCTCAACAAGGGTACCTCATTACAGTGCGAATGCTTGTCGGACCCCCAATCATGTGTTCGAAATCGTGTCTGTAGGATAGTGAATAGACTAGCACGTTTTTTTTTCACATTTTCTCGGAAATATCGCTTTCGCAGCCGAAGAACACTTTTTGGCACTATACTATTCCTACCCCAAAGACTCAAAATTTTTTTCTCGCTGAAACATCGCTCATAGATAATTCGATGCCCTGATCACGAATTTCTCACCAAAATCGATGAAAACTCGTGTCTGGGGGTTAACTGAGGTCCTGATTACGTATCCGACATTTGTTTTTGACGCTGGCGGCATTTGGCGCCACTGTGCGCTAATTTGGCTTGTGGTGGTTAATTGAGGTCCTGTCACGAACACGACATGAAATAACTCTTTATACATGATCGCATCAGTAAGTTGGTATGTGGCCCTTCCCCTACTCTACCCCCATATACGGGTTTTCACCGACTTTGGTGAAAAAAGTGGTGGCGCCAAACTGGTGCGCAATGGCGCCAAATGGCGCTAGCGCTCAAAACGAATGTGATAATCGTGATCAGGATGTCGATTGACCCACATACAGGGGGGGGGCCAAAAAAAGTCACTTTCCTTCATTGACTTTCGAGGCGCTATAAGTTACACTTTATCGAATTCTGATCGGACATTTTTACCACCATATTGAAGAGCATATTAAATACTATCATGACACTCCGCCACTGCTTTCTGGACGAGCGCCATAGAGAGATTCTGACACGCGACCGCGATGTGGTACCTGAGATCAGCGAGGTAGTAGATTTCTCCGCCACCGTAGACCACCCTATCGAACTCCGCCCGAACCAGGTAATTGAGGGGATTCAGGTCAGGGGGCATACTTCAATATTACATCTTCTTCAGGTACGAAGCGCCCTTCCATTCGAAGTAGGAGAGAGTTTTTCCAAAACCCTTCGATTCCATGTGGTGGCACGAAAACCTGTAGCAGTACACGGTGTTCAAGAAGGTACGAGCGACAACATGTGGGGAGGATATTCTTCTCGAGTTGCTTTGCATGTAACCACCAGCGCTCACCTTCAGTCCGGGTCTACAAAGAAAATATCGGTCTTCCCATTCCAGGTACCCCGGTCCATACCATCAACTCGCGCCTCGGCGACCACGGTGAAGATGATGTCCCAGACCATTAGCGACGTTGACGGAGCTGATGTTGGAGGTCATCCAGATCGAGAGTACTGGTCTCCAGGTAGCTATCCATGAGTGATTCCTTTCAAGAAGTTTCGCAGCTGTTTGGAGGCCACTTGAATTCCAAAGGGTTCTCCACTCAGGCCGCACTGGAGATGACTCCAATATTTTGGTGTACATGAAGGCGATTGGCGACAGCCTGCCTCAGCTTATAGAGGAAGATCTTGGGTATCTTCCCCTGGTATTCATATCCACTTCCCCTGGCTGGGCTGCGAAAACTTTCGCTTGATATGTGGCTCGGCCGAAATGACCTTTTTTTCGCCCCCCCCCCTCGTATACAAGTTTTCACCGACTTTGGTGAAAAAAGTGGTTGCGCCAGATTGGCGCATAATGGCGCCAAATGACGCCAGCGTTCAAAACGAATGTGACCAATGCGTGGAACTACCCTAAAATCCCATAGATAAGAGCGGTTTAATTTACCGGTGAAAAATGATTTTGGAAAAACATTTTTAAAATTCTATTTCACAACAATTCGTTTCAAAACACATTTCAAAACAAAACATTTCACAATATCAACAACAAGGACTCTAACATAAACAGAACACTAAACTTTTCCAATTTCTACTTCGTCAAAATCGTTTTTGAGATTTTCCAAATCACACAATGCTTTTTCAAAGCTATGTTGAATAACATCAGATGAAATGGATTGGAAACTTTCGCTAACTAAAAATGAAGCTTCTTCGTAGTCATCATGAGCACACAACGCCAAAAAAAAACGTATACAAACGCCAATTTTCATTTTCTAGCACAAACCGCTCTTATCTACGGGATTTTAGGATACATCTATAGGCAACGTTTCAGCAAAAAATTTTTTTTGAGTTTTTGGGGTAGGAGTAGTTCAATAGTGCCCATTTTTTTGTTGGAAAGCCGAATTTTGACTAGTCCAGGTGTTTTTGAAAGATAAAAGTGCCTTCAGAGGGAGTCATTCCTGAAAATTTCCTGTTTCTTGAGCACTGTCCACGGTTTCTAAGTTTACAAAAGGTCACATATAGTGGTTTATCAATGCCCTAATTGCTCATCGCTGGTGCTCACTCGAAGGAATGCCTTATCTGCGACAGGTCGCTCAGTAGCTCTTATAAGTACGCGTTCAATGATTATGGTAGAACTTGTACTGCCAAATTTTTTTTGCTACAAAAACCTTATATCTGCGGGGGAGTACCACATAACTTTAGTCTCATTTTTGGCGCTTTGCTTATCCTTAGGTTTTTCTCTTCTGATAGGCATCTAGTCAGTAAATCACTGGTGGGATCAGTGATATGCGCCCTCTTGATAGGCATTTACTGAGAGGCGGAGTGGTCAAAGTGGCGATTGTAGAATTCTTATACGCCAGAAAATAGGGTGATCGAAAAGTTGAAACCACAAAGCCCCATTTGATAAGTATATGACCAAGAAGCAATGTTCCTGAGGATGGTACAGAGCTGTTAAATCGATTCAAGGATTTGACCACAGAGACAAGCATCTGACCTGATGACTTATACACCTCGACTGGGAGCTTACCATTAGGGAGTCAGCTTATTCCCGGAGATCCACGTCAGAGATCACCTTCATTTGATGTGTGGAGTTCATAACGTTCTCTGGTATGAACTCTTTCTATGGGTTTCTACAGGCTGTCGCTCCCTATGAGTGCGCTCCATACGATGCACACCATATTCTCTACGTCCGTTTTATCATATCTTAATCGCTTAAATCAATTCAAGTTGTCCTAGAAATCTATTTTTACTTAGATAAGTTATATCCTTCTTCTGCAATTCGAGTAGCCTAGATTAATTGGAAAAAAGGTGGTATCTGAAACTCTCATTTAGGGCTACATCATTGGTTGGGGATTTTGGTGGGGTCTGTACGACCCCCTCTTTTTTGTGGGGGGGGGTACGACCTCCTGCACAGGGCACAGCATTCGATGGGGATTTTGGTCGAGCTTTTACGACCCCCCCCTTTTTTCAGGGGCTGGTACGACCCCCCCATTGCCCATTGCTCCTACGATGGCTGACATGGCTGACTATGGTTGTGGTTTATACTCGGCGAAAAAGTTGTCGAGGGGGGGGGGCGGGGCTGGGGGGGGGAGAGAAAAATCAACTATAAAAATAAATTTTTCCAGCCAAATAACGACCCCCCCCTTTTGACGGCAAATACGACGCCCCCCCCCCCATAGGGATTCCCCAACCAATGCTGTGCCCTGCCTCCTCATCCGGCCCTCTGTCCCTCCTCATCGAGCTGTCGAAAGGGGATATACAGTACACATGAAACAGGAAAATCACGAAAAGTCAACCACCTCTCCCAGAAGGCCAGAAAATAAATATGATCCCCCTCCCAACAACGAGCAAGTACGACCCCCCCTCCCTTTATCAGCTATCAAAATAAATTTTTCTCAGCGCGATTACAACTCCGCTCTGCCGGCGACCAATTACGACCCCCCGCCCCTCCTGTTGAGGATTCCCCAACCACGGTGTACCCTGCTCTCATTTGTGGCTGCTCGACATTCCAACGTGATTGAGTGAAAATCGATACAAATTAAGAAAGAATAGAAAATCAAGCACACCATCATGTGGAACAAAAGCTTGTCTATCGTCTATCAAATCAAGTGGAATACATTGAGAGAAATTCTCACTTTCTCATAAAATTTATTGTACAAAAAAGGCCATCACTTTTGGGCCATCCCAGTAGTACGCTCCTGTTACAGAACTTCCGCAAACTTGTTCAGAGGAATGCACACCGGATGAGGCAGACTGGTTCGCGATTAGAGGCAGATGTCACGATAAATTGGTACTCGGTCTGAAGCTAGCAGGGCGCTATGTAGTAGTAAAATGGCGAAAAAACGAAGTGAAACGGGTAAAATATTGCAAGAAAAGCCTTCGTTCTTACTGACTCGAAAAGCGAATTCGGACGAGTCTTCCCTAGGCGTCTTGCCGCTACAGTAGGTACGGCTGCACGTATGTACTCATATCCATGTAGCCGCACGACCTCTTCATGCCAATTTTTCGCTTTATTTTACTTTGAGAATGAGGTAATACAAGCACCAGGTAGGGTCGTCCATTTGTGGGCGGGCGGGCACGGTGGGAGTCCGGGCCAGTATGTTGCAGCTTGATAGAGCCCCCATAAGGGCACCTTCCTTGGGAAAGGTGTTATGCAGCGCCTGGTCAGGGTCGCGGGACCGTGTCAGGCATATATCCTACTCGTCCTAAGGATTTATCGTGCCAACTGCCTTTAAAGTTCGAAGTGATTCTAGATGCTCTTAATCCCACTTCATCTTCCCACTTTGATCTGCTGCAGTTCCTTGATCAGGTCTCGAAATGCGGCCCAAGATGTTCTTGAGTTTATCGATGATCAGTTCTGTATTTGACTATATAAAACGTTAAGTGACCTCCGAATTCCAGTTCTCGCTGATTTTTTCTTTGATATCGAGCTGCGGTGATGTGATAAGTCTACGTGACAAGTCTCTGCTCACACTTGAAGTGACCACGTTCAGCAGGAAGTACCCAAATATTCCAGTCGATTTATTGGCATCTCTTCTTGCAAGTCGCGATGACGTATCGCGTAGTGAAGCCAGGTATGTGCTCGTTTTCGCATTTCCGGGTGTGGTCCATAATATCCGAGATGCGGCATCGCGCGAAACTAACAGAATGATTCCCAGCTAGTTGACCTGACCCACCGCGGCTTTCCCTTGTCAACTTGGGTCCTAGTGTGAAGCAAGGCATTAGGCATTAGTTAGCGATTTTGGTTTTGGTAGATAGCACATGTGGAACAGGAAGAACCGCGAGGAAACTTGACCTTCCCTCTCTACCATTTCTTAGGTTCCCCAAATTCTTACCAGTTTTTCCGAAATTTCCCGGAAACTTCCTTACTTTTCCCCAAAAATTTTGCAGTCGAGCGAGGGGGGAGGGTGGTTGAGGGGTATGTAGTACACGTGAAACAGGAAAAATACCCAAATCTCAACAACCTCTCTCAGAGGGCAAGGGAAATATGACTGCCCCTCCCTCTTTATAGCATCCGTAAAACAAGTAAATTCAATTATCAACAAAATTTTTCCCAGCTCCAGCTCAGGTACGACCCTCGCCCTCTTCTCTTGCAATTACAACCCACCTGTTGGGGGAATCCCCAACGAAGTGCCCTGTGTCTAAAATACGGCATGCATAATTCGCCCCTCCCCCTCACTGTGCCTTGGACATGCCGAACTATACCGTTTGTTTCTTGACCAGATCCTGAATGTTTTGACGCGATCGATTTCAGACAAATGGCCGAGGAAGTCGTTTCACATGTACAGTTCCATCCTCGAGACAGAGTTTTGGAGCAACTGTTCGCGTCGGTGATTGGCCGAAGTGACTCCTCCTCATGGAAACCTAACCTTGACATGATGAATATGCTTTCATCTTTCATGCGCAGAGATCAGCCGCAGTCATAAATTGAGGTGCACGATTGCGAGACCACAGTTAAATGGGTGCATTGTCTACTACCTGCACTTGTATTAGGTCGTCCGGAAAGTTTTGAGAAAATTTCACACTTTTAGTTGGAAGAAATGTAGCAAGCGAATGGCCCAACATAAAGGCGTAAATGAAGTGCTATGAGAAAGAGAAATGTTTGTAGATCAGCATAATGTTGGTTGGTCTCATTCCCCATGGGTGGCATGACTTACACATTACCTCAGAAATGTACGAACGCACACGACTCCCAACGCCTTCTACTTCATCTTCACCGTTCTGGCTTCTCTAACGGTCAAATCAGGAATGAGAAACCGTCATCGACGCTGGATAAAACACGCTTCAAATGCATCTGCAGCAGGAGATCAACCGGTCTCTTACGTGGAAGTTAAGCTTGGATATTGCGTACGCCCCCTCATGCGGTACTCACTACATTCTAACTCCCACGCAAAGTAGTCCCGCCCAAAAGGTAAGGGGAATGGGATGGACAATGTTTATTATTAGCATGAACTCCTATCTCTCACTGTTGTCGATAGGTGTTGAATGAGCTGGTTGAAATTTCTCAAAACTTTCCGGACACCCTAATATTACTGCTTACGATTATATCAGTGTCTTGTGGCTTCCTTTTCGGGCATGAGATTTGAACCATTTCCAGAAGAAACTTTTTTTTTCACCTTCAAGCCCTATAGTATCTCAAGTGCGCCGTTTCAAGGAGTTGGTTTCGTTATATTCTGCACTGTATTTTATACTAATGCTTCTGGGCATTCCCCGATAGCAGCGAGTGTCGCCGAGGTCGCGGGTTAACAATCGTCGACTCGCACTCGAGCACAAGTAGGTGGAGCACTCCAACTGCTCTTTGAGTAAGTGTCGTCTGTTAAGTAACGAATAACGAGATATCGTTGAGACTCATAGACCTAGAACTAGAAAGCTAAACTCAACTATATTAGAGATGAAGATATCCTGAACTGCACACTGTTTTAATCACGCGCTCCGAGAACGAGTCCCTACACTCGCTATCACTTTCTGTAGGGACTTCAAGTAGTTAGTTACTACGAGGGCTTCTTTTCACATGTTACAGTATGACATTCGCTCAACTAGCAGTTGGGGCTAACAGTTAGCATTTGCAGCTCGTCGTGTAAACCCGTGATCGCCCCAATCTTAGCGACTGAATGTCGTTATCGCGAACTACGGGCGCTCCCTGATGCCAACGTAGTTGAAGTGAACGCGGCAGCGCCTCTGCCCCCTTTTTTCCTAACAAAGGCTCAAGTTAGATTGCAAGTGGTCGGAGTCGAGTAGAGACCGTGTGGTCTACGAGTGTGACC